CCCCAAAACCCCAAAACCCCAAAACCCCAAAACCCCGGAAAACCCATATTGGGTTGAAGTAAAGCACTTTAATTTTAAAGCAAAGCAATATTTCTCAAAATTTCAGATGTTAAAACTGGAAAAATGAGAAGTAGAAATTTCAAAGATTTATGATAAAAGACCTCTATTTTTGGCAAGTAATTCTCAAATTATCTGTAAGGACTGCAGACAGACTACCATGGAATGTATTTAGAGAAAAGTGAGCTTCCATAAGAGCCTGGATGGATGAGGAGGCTAAATTGGATTTTGAAATAAACTTGAATAATGCTGCCTAAAATACTAATACTCAGTTTTTTGGTATGGAGACTGGTGCTAGCACAAAGACAATTAGCCACTTCTACATCTCCAACTGTTTGTATAACAGAAAAAATAATTTTTGGTGTAGAATATACCTCAACGATAGCAGCCAAAGATGGTGCACTCAAACAAACCTAGGCTTCTATGATGGAGAGTGATGTACAAGTTCAGACTTTTTAGGCTATTGCCAGACCAGTTCAAACTATATTTGCTCAAATGATAACAGTATTGACTCACAGGTATTTTGGTAGATTAAAACCATAGGCATATCATATTCTTTGTCCAAGGGATTCATCTGAATGTGGAACACAAGAGCTTTTTGCTTCATGCGTAGTGAACCTATGACACTCACTAGATCTTCTATATCAAGTGGTTCTGTTTGCATCTACCTCTTCATGCCATCAAAGAACGGGTTTAGTGGGCTAAAACTTACAGCTAGTACGCCTAGTATCTTAATTCCTAATATCATGCTTAGTTTATTAAAATTTTCAGGGTTTTATTTAAAATAATTTTATTCATATTCCATTTGAATCCCCAATTAAAACTTTGAGACTAAAATTCCATCCTTGAAGGGCTTTGTCTTACTCATGTATAGATGAACTTGTCAACTCCAATATAAGATAATTTGTATTCAAGCAGGCTGATTTAGTCACTAAAAATTGTTAGCCAGCCTACCCAACAAGTGATCGAAATTTTACGAAAACAGGGTATTAAGCTCCATTCGGTGTTCATAGTATCAACGTTGTCTCAGTGGACACGAACACCTACAACTCATTTGAGTATGATTATCAAGGATCACTTTTGATAGATGAAAACATTACGGCTAAGATGAATTGGAAGACTGAGGTATAGATCCTTAAGAGTAAAGTTAGACTAAATACCCTAGCAGTCGATACTAATCATTATTTAAGGTTATTGAGATAGGTATATATACGCCTAATTATCGGCCTATCCCTTAAAAGTTAGGAAGCTAAGTTGAATGTCAAGTGTATAGTTTTCCTACCCTCTGCAAGCTCCAATAGCTTCAATATTACCTATGAAGAGACTAGCTCCTCCAAGTAAGTTACATGATAGGGGAATGCTAACTTTAGTATAGTATAGAGAAAAACTACTTTGTTTCAACCATTTAAAGCCAAATAATATGTTAAATTTCTTGATTTTTAAGAGTAGCAGCATTGGAGTGATACTTGAAAGCATATTTGGCTCAATATGTGGGCTCGCTCTTATTGTAGGAGCTATCATTCTTTACTGCTGCTTTTGTAAATCAAAGAAAAAGACAAACACTTTTAAAAATGAAGCTCAAGCTCCTAAGGAAGCACCCCCTCCAGTTCCAGGTAGCCCTTCCCCTGCTCCTTATGTTACAATAGAGCCGCCTCTTCCATACATAACACGTAAGAGCTCTATCTTTCAAACTCTTATCCTCAAATCAACCTACACAACAGCCTCAGATGATTTATGTCGACCAAATAATGCCCCAGCCAGGGATGATACAGCACAATATGGTTAAAAAGTGCGAATTTCCTAATACCCTTAGCTGACCAATGATGTATCCTTCATATAGTGACCTAAAGTATTCTGGCCCAAGCATTATCAGTGTGAATGAGCAGTATCAACCAGCAGGTGCAGCCCAACCCCAGATGATGGTAGTGGCACCTCTTGGTGCTGATGTCCAACAAGTGATTCAGGATAGCACAATAAATCCCTTATACAACGGTACTAATGTATAATCCATTTTCAAGGTTTTCCATATAAGATATTGAAGTAGGGGTTTTGGGGTTTTGGGGTTTTGGGG